GAATCAATCCACCATTCTTTAGGATTTCCTACCAAGTTGCATTCAGACAACATGGCACACAAGTCCTCCATGTCTTCAACATTTTCAACCGTGTTTGCTTGATTCTTCTTCTTCTTTTTCTTTTGTACATCATTCTTTGGTGCACGACAGTCCACGGCCTTATGCCCAGACTTTCCACAGTTGTGGAAATTACCCTTGAACTTTTTCTTGCTTGGGTAATCCTTTGGTCCAGAAGCCTTCTTTCTCTTTTTATTTTATGGCGCCTCCTCAACAATATTAGCCCTTATTATTGTCGAGTTTCCACGTGACTTCTTTTCAGCATTTTTGTTGTCTTCTTCTATCCTCAAACGAACAATCAAGTCTTCTAGTGTCATTTCCTTCCGCTTGTGTTTAAGATAGTTCTTAAAGTCCTTCCACAACGGAGGTAACTTATCAATGAAAGCGGCGACTTGAAAGGCCTCATTAATGACCATACCTTCAGCAATAAATTCATAATTAATAACAAGATAAATCTTATTAATAAATTTATTGATTCGGGTCATACCTTCAGCAAGGAGGTCATGCACAACAACTTGTAATTCTTGGACTTGAGTTATGACCGACCTAGTGTCAATCATCTTGAAATCCAAAAACCTTGCAGCCGCGAACTTCTTAAGTCCGGCATCCTCAGTCTTGTACATTTTCTCAAGCGCATTCCATAACGCTTTTGATGTTTCCATTACACTATAGACATTGTACAGGCTATCTTCCAAACAACTCAAGATGTAGTTCTTGCACAAGAAATCAGAATGTTTCCATGCTTCAGTTACAACATATCGTTCGTCATCCGGAGTGCCTTCAGCCAGGACCGGAGGATCCTCCTTGATAAATCGCTGCAAACTCAACGTAGTAAGATAGAAGAGCATCTTCATTTGCCAACGTTTGAAGTCAATACCGGAAAACTTTCCGAGTTTTTTTGCTGGTGCCATAGCATGAGCAGGAGTTGAACGGCTTGACGAGGCAGCAACACTCGTAACAGTAGCACCCGTTCCCGCAACATTTTCATTAGTTTGGTTTTCATTCGTCATTTTTCTGTAGAGTTGGAAACAAAACAGAACTTTGTTAAATCAGTGAAGTTTTGATATCTTCAAACTGAATACCAAACCAAACATACAACACATAACAATGGTGAAGTTTTTATATACTTCAAACCCGTACGTTTATTATTCCGGTAAAGTTTTGATATACTTTAAACCGGACAGAACAATTATTGGAGTAGAAATCACGAAGGCTTTAGTCTCCAAACCAGTATACAAAATATAGATAACAGTTTAATATATATTTCAACACAGAAACGTTAGTATTTAAAATTCCTTAAGCTTGTTGTTGCTACTGTGTTAAAACAAAAAATCAGAAAAATTGTTAGAAGAATAAAAGAAATTGGAAAAATAGTAAAGATTAAGAAATATTCCGAGTCCACAATTTGCTTGTGCGTATTTAAGGAATTTTAACCCCCTCACACGTTGCCAAGGTAATGGATTAAATCCTCCCAGGATAAAACGGAATAAACCTTCCTGCAATAGTGGCAATACAAACTGCAGGATACCAACGAACTTAAAGAACGGAGCAAATCACACTTACGAATTTGAGAGAGAGAGACTGCGAATTAGAATGCAGTATTTTCAGAAAGAAGGAAGTTCTGTAATGTTTTTGGTGTGTTAAAAACGAAGCCATGCCTCAGAATTTATAGGCAATTATTGGAAGAGATGTGATGTTTGTTCTGGAAAATGTGCCTTTTCAGAAGTTTACGCGGCCTGCCGCGGTTACGCCAGGACCGCGGCCAGACTATCCTTCTGAATCTTCAGCAGTGATCTGACATTTAGTTAATTATTAAATAATTAATTAAATAAATTTTGTCCATTAAATTATCTTATCGATCGACAAATCCAAATCCAAATCCAAAGCGCCGAGCCGAGCGAGCGAGCGACGGCGGCGCGAGGGTTCATTCTCTTCAACTCCTTTTAAGAGCTTTAAGAAGTGATTCTATATATAAGCACACAAATGTAGTTGTCCCTCACCAATGAGGGACAAAGTGCAAGTCAAAAGCTCACTTTATTCAGATTATCATTTCCCTCCATTTTATTTCTCACCATTTCCAATTCACACTCTTATACTTTAAAGCCCAATGCTTAAAGTCTTTGAAGTTCAATGCCTTTAAAGTCCAACACTGTCAACTGGATCTGCACTAGCAGACGGCAGCTCTTTCATATCACAGTCAGCTTCATGTTGTGAAACTTTATAAGAAGATTGTCAAACTCTGTTGACGTTGATGAATTGGTATTTACATTCGCACATTTCTTAAGATGAGCATGCCACTGGTTTTTGATATCGTTGTCCGATCTTCCTAGTAATTTTTCTGCAATGGCTGACCATCTGTGCATGATTAGATACGCGCGTTATATTAATTAGTACTCCAAAAGGGATTACAACTTAGTTTAATTAATAATGCAATGTATTGTTGCAATATATATATATATACCTGTTTCCGAGTTCATTGTGTAATTTAATAATGAGTTCCTCTTCTTCAAGGCTATAATTCCCTTTCTTCAAACCAGGTCTCAAGTTATTCATCCATCTCTGTCTGCAGCTCTTTCCACATCTCATTAGTCCTGAAAAATATCCAAAAATAATTACTATTAAGAACTTTCTCTTCCTAAAAGGTACTTAAGTAATAAGAAATGACAACAATCAGAAAAAGTTTGGGGTTCCATGTACACTAACCAGCATATTTAGGCAATTGCCGCCAATTCGGATGGCCATGCTTTTCAACAAAAGCTCTTAATTTGTTGTCTTCGTCTTCACTCCATGCACCTTTCTTCATTCCATTTTTGTCAACAGATGGAGTTCTCACCATTCTTTTTTTTTTTTTCTATTATAAGTACTAGTATTGGATCTCTCTTTGCCTTTTTAATTTGATTTCTTTATCTTAAACTCTATCTGACCAACTTGCAATGTAATGCTTCAGTCTTATATATGGTGAGCAGACAACGATTGAAGCCGTGTTTTAGATTATTTTATCCTTCAACTAAAACAAATAAGAACTTGTTTTTTTATTTTATATATATAATTTCTCCCAATAACAACTAGGCGTCAAGGTCAAAGGTCTCAAGATATAAATACAATAAAGAGATTAAGAGACTGCTCAAGTGTCTTGACTCTGGTTATAAGCTTTGGATACCAACTAAAGATCCAGTTGTTTGAACAAAAATATAAATCTTGGTTCACATAATTAAATTTATGTAAACAAGGGTTAATCTTAGCTAACAATAATATCCTTACATCATAGTTTTGAAAGATCAATTGATGTTATACAGATTTGGACGAACAGTAATAATATCACGTGATAAATGCTCTGGGAAATCAGGAATAGTAATGTAGCACACAATATCTAATGAACAACAATAAATGACATTTAAGTAAATAGGAAGAATGATTCACCCAATAAAGAATAGAATAAGGGGATCTTCCTCCTTACAATGATTGACAATTAAATCTTCGAATAATCAAGGATTTCTCGGATATGATGGTAAAGTATAGACAAGAATTTCAGTGGAAAGGTGATCTTTGTATCAAGTGAGAGCCGAATCTTTTAAGTCAAAATGTCTTTCTTACAAAATGAATGTCACATTCCCCCTCTATCATTGTCTCCTCTTTTATTTATATGGGACATGTTTCTGAAAATTCCTAATAGTATAAGTGCAAAAAATATCCACTAGAATAATCCCTTTAATATCTTATCTTGAAAATTAGCCGTTACTGCTCTATCAACGGTATTCGACCTCGACCCTTGTTGACGCCTTGACTACGGCTCTCGTCGACTCTTCGACCAGAGGCTTTGCGGCTTCTCGGACCATCTTAACAAATTATGTTTTTTAGGGTTCTTCTCGTAGTATTATCTTGACCTAAATATTCTAAGGGAGGATTTTGACTCATACAGTTAGTCCTTCCGCTTATTGAGACCGGCCTCAAGCAGGCTTGATGAGCGGATTCTGTTCATTGTGATCGAATCAATTGGGCGAGCTGAGCGTGCCGTGATGATAGTGGCGAGCTGACAACGTGGCCTTTCGTGAGTCGCGAGTCTCGAACGCTTCGTTTCACAATCGGTTTGTTGGAGTTGTGTTGTCCACGAATCAGGGTGACATCATGATGCCATGCGTCACCATGAATTCTCGATGCGTTGCTTCGTTTTGCGTGTGACTCCTGATTGGACTTGCCACTTCGGTTCCGATGCCAGGTAATGATGAGCCGATTTTCGTTTCTGGTGCCTGAGTCCTTATAAATAGGGATTTTAGGATATAACTTTATAGTTTTCAGATTTCTTGTGTCGAAACCCTATATCCCATTCTTTTTCTCCCATTGCTTTGCACTTTTCCCCTCTGTTCCAGCGATTCCCGTGGTTTTTAATCCTCCATTATTTGGTACTTCTTTCTCTTTTGTTAAAACATGTCTAATGTACCTTCTGAGTCTAGCGAGGGAAGTGATATGGTCCATCTAGCGATGGTGTTTCCCCCTCACGCGGAGAACATTCAGACCGCAAGCGAGGATGGACAACAGTGGAAGAGATCGTGGCCACGATACCTGGTCTGATTTCTCCAAGTTTCCTAATGCCGACCCTAGAACCTTTAAATCAGCAATGACAGAGGCCGATTTGGTAGAGCTTAAGGCTAAATACGGCCTCCCCAATCACGTCGAGTTAATCTATGTCGAATGGGATACGGTGCAGGTCCATTATCCTAGGTACTGCGCCTTCTACGCCTACCCATTTCACGTCGACTACACTTTTCCTCTCCTTCCGCTGGCGGAGAAATTTTGTCGCTATTACGATGTTTGCCCGGCTCAGCTCGCGCCTTATTTTTACAAACTCATAAGGATTCTCACCAAATTTGTAGAGCTGGACGAGGTCGAACTCATACTTCGACATTTGACGCACCTGTTTGCCCCTAGTTTTTATAGGGGGACGATGCTGAATATTCGCCACTGAAGAGGTAAATGCTTGGTGGTGAAGATTGATGACAAAGCTAACTGCCAATTCTAGTTCAACATTTTCTTTGTTAGAATTGAATATGTGGTTCCGATGGTTTTCCTGAGGCTTGGAATTGTACTCGTAAGTGCATAACTTCCTTGTTTGCAGGTATCTAATTTTTCTTTCGTGTTTGGCCATGGTTCTAACCTTCTGTCATTTTTTGTGCAGCTAAATGTTTACCTCCCCCTTTGGTCGACGATATTTTCGACTGGGTAGGTCAGCTCCTCCCTAACATCGTGGGGATACGCGAGTGGTTGGGTTTTTTCAAGAGGTTTGGGCCTCATCTCCCTTTTACTAGTAAGTTGTTCTTGTCGTCGGCCAATTAGTTATTTCTATTTTTGGTTTACTTTGGCTGACCTTCTTCTTCCTTTGTACTATCTTTAGCTTCAGCTGGGGGGTCCTCGAAGAGGTCGAAATCTCCCGCATCCGCGTTCCAAAAGAGGAAAAACACTAAGCCCTCGGCTTCTTCCCCCTCCTCGACTGTGTCTACCTCTGCTCGTGCATCGAACCTTACTTCGACTGTGGCTACCTCTGCTCATGCCCCATCTCCCCCTGTTGGTGCGTCTTGTCCTGCTCCTTTCTCGGCCATGGGAACTTCGACCTTTTTATTATACTGTCCTGTAGACAAAGATGACGAGCTTGTACCTGCTGAGAAAGATTTGATGTCTCGCAAGTGGAGGTTCGTAGATACTGGTGATGGGGCCGCCCGAGCCGTTGACTTAATGGAAGGTGATTTTTCGCTATGCGAGACGGCGACCATAATCATCGGAGACGACGTTGGGCCGGTGTCTGAAACTCCAAGGTTGGCGGAGGTCGACGTGGGTACGTCTCTTCCTTCTATAATGACGGAGGCAGAAGGCTAGCCACAGGAGTTCTCATTACTTCGAGGCAAAAAGAGTTGTCGACTTCGCAGCCAGCTGATGATTCTTCTTTGCCGGCTACTGAGAAAGGCAAGGGCGTTGCCGAGGAAGGCTATGAGACGGGTTCGAACGTTGATGTGGGTGAACTTAAGATGATGGAAGAAGGGTTTACCCAACTTAAGATAAGATTAGAGGGGTCTACAAGGACCATTGCGATCCCTATGGATCGTGATTTCCTGAAGAATACGGAGATGTGGTCCTCGGCCTCGCCCCCCTTTGTTCCGAGATATAGGGTAAGACCCTTAAAGAGTTGGATAACGTTACTATATCGAGGAGTATTGCTGGTCTTGCCCTTAGAGTGAGTGTTTAGTGTTTTGTTCTTCTCCTCTTTTTGCCTTTGTTTTTTGGGGCATTTTCGTTTCTGACTCACTTTTTTTCTTTTTCTAATAGCAGACGGTGATTTTGGAGATTGAGAGCACCCGAAGGGAGGAGAAGCGTAGGGAAATGTTTGTAAGGTCGAAATATAAGTATTTTGAGTATCGGCGCAAGTACCGGGAGTTTCGTTGTCGACTTGATGAGGATGGAAACATGCAGGCTCTTTGAAACGAGTTGATGGAGAAAGATGATAAGCTGGTGAACGCATTGAGAAGTGTAGAGTCCTCAAGGGGACGTTGAGGAGGAAGGAAAAAGAGTTTGACGTTAACAAGGGCGGGGAGGCCCAATGCAGTGACCTTCAAGCATAAGTGGTCGAACTGCGCAGGCAATTCGAAGAATGTCGGCTTTAGCTGGAGGGCCTCAATGGTGAAGTTGCTGAGAGGAAATTGGAGATGCTTGAGCTAGCGAACAGCACCCTCCAGGCCGAGCGGGAGAATGACCAGTCCATGGCGAAAGCTAAGACAAATTGACCGGAGGGGAGGGGAGGAGAGCTGGAGAAGGATAAAGCCCTCCTTCATAATCGGGTGGTCGCATTGGAAGCTGAGAAGGCTCAACTGGGCGCGACCCTCTTCTTCTTGTACTTCGGTATTTCCCAACGTCCCTCGAGAATTTTATGAGGAATGGATTCACACCGAGGCTTAGTTGGATGTGTATCGAGATTTAGATAAGTCGGGGTCCATTTTTGAGGTCGCCCTCGAGGATGTTCGTGTTAAGTCTCGTGAAGCTTGAGTCTCTTGCGGGTGTGATCCCGCTACACTTGAGGGCGATGAGGGGGATGATGAATGCGTAGATCTATTTGAAGAGGACGCTTGGTACGACACTGCTTATCCTGAGGGCGGGGACGGTGAAGGTGGGGGTAATCGAGATGGCGAGGGTATCAGTGGCCAAGGTGATGAAGGCACTAGAGATCGTGATGGTGGCGATCAGTAGTTTTATTTTTGCCTTGTAACCTTTTGTGTACTTTTACCTGCATCTTCATGAGACTTTGTAAAACTGTTTAAGTATGAAATGTCAAAGTTGTTTTCTGCATCTCCTTCCCTTCCTGCTATTTACTTTTTGTACTTGTATGTTTTTGCTTCTATTGTTTGCATGTTTCACTTTTTCCTTCGTTTGTGTTGTTTTTGGCTGGCTGTGGCGTTGCGGCCGGTTATGCGTTGTTTCTTCTGTTTTTTGTGTTGTGATGCAACCAAGGGCCGATAGGTGTTTGTTTGATTGCGATCCAACGGGGTTGAACGTAACCTTTTATTAGTATTGCGCCCGAGGGCCAATAGGTGTTTGTTCGAACGGATCGAACGTAACCTTTCATTAGTATTGTAACCGAGGGCCGATAGGTGTTTGTTCGAATGGGTGAATGTAACATTTCATTAGTAATGCGGCCGATGGCCGATAAGTGTTTGTTCGAACGAGTCGAATGTAACCTTTCATTAGTATTGCAACCGAGAGCCGGTAGGTATTTGTTCGAGCGGGGTCGAACGTAACCTTTTGCTAATTTTGCGGCCGAAGGACGATAGGTGATTGTCCAAGCGGGGTCGAATG